GAAAATCACACCACACACCACAGTGCCTTTCCTGTGACTCAATCACCTCAAAAGAGGGAGACGTGCCCACACTTTTCCACCTGCCTACAGATAGCTGCGGTGGGGTGGCATGGAGGAAAGATGTAAATCGTAATTTGTATAAATCAGCAACACTATGAAACACGTCTGAGAAGTCTCCACCGGACATGCATATTAACATGTAACACAGTTTAGCTAGGCAAAGTGGTTTGCTCCTTTCGTCCCAGCTACGTGGCAGGCTGAGGCAGGAGGATTCCTTGACACCAGAAGTTCGAGACCAGCTTGGAAAATGCAGTGAGACCTTGTCTAAAATTTAAAAAAAAAAAAAACAAAACACCCATGACCACATGTAGCAATTCATGTGTCACATACACTGACAATGGCTAATAATGTCAAACACAGAGAATGGTCATTATACACCTAAAAGAACCTGCTCAGGCCACAAGCCACCACCTGGTAGCTAGTTACTGCTGCCTCGCACATCTCACAAATGAGCAAGCTGAGGCCCAGAGATATTACATAACCTGCCCAAGGGCACTTAACAAGTGAATGTTCAAGCCATAGTACGAAGCCAGACAGTCTGGCTCAAGCCTGTGCTCACAATCACTGTAACGCAACACAGTCTCCATGAGACTCCCTTAAGAACCACTATTGTCTTTACATTCTTCAACCCTTTTAGATAAAATATAAACAGGTACTCTTGCTCTCTATTTGAGGGGCCAATTCGAACGAACTCTTTCTGAGCATTCATTTTGACCTTCCACTGACTTGTACCTAAATGCATACCATCACTAAATTCCCCGTACAACACCCTCTTTTTCACTTGCCATACAGGTAATCCACATTCCCATAACCAGCCTTCCAAAGAGTTTCTCACCATCACTACACACCTGACTGACCAAAATCTGCCCTTTCTGGTTTTTGCAAATATTGACATACTTCTGGAGGAAACGCAAATTTTACAAGAGGGACTAAGCGAAACAGAATGGGCAAGATAAGAACACGAAGGGGCTGACTGAAATCTCTGTAGTATTATCATTCTAAACAACAAAAACTGTATTAATGTAAAAAACCACCTCATCTGTCACAGTGCTTAAAAGAAAACCAACACCAAAGACAAAATAAAACCAAACAATGACAAAACCACTCAGCCCCCAAGGTGAGCCGAGTGTCCCACCAGCACAGAATCCTTCTGCTCATCTGTGGTTGGGCTGCCCTGTCCATCAAACAGAGAGCTTCTGATGACAGGGTCAGCTTTCACTTTTACCAAAAGTGACCTCATGATCTCAGATGATGACATTTTAATGGCTGGGTAAAAAGATATCAGTTTGGGGTGCTGTGGTTTCCATAAAGAAAAACTCAGGAAAAGAATCAGAAACTTGGGAAGAACACAAAATCCTACACAAGTCTGGATTGTATCTGCTAGAAAGATTTCCATTTCAAGTAAAAGCAATAGCACCAAGTATATAGAACAAAACACAGCTTAGTGGGTTTCCTGTAGAAAAATTAACACTTTGTAAACAGATGTATGTTTTAACTGAAGACTTAAAATCATATTATAAGTATCATCAGGTAAATGTAATTGATTCAATTTGCAGGTTTTATTTTTCATAAGAAGGAAGTGACTCATATATAATCCCTCTTCACTCTCCCCCTTCCCTCTCTCCCTCTACTCTAGACAAAAGGCATATTAGGTGATGATCTTAAAGTAAGGTACCTTCAAGGATGTGCACAGCAGGAATAATTAAGTGTACAATAGCTAGCAACTCGTATCATTTTTTAAAAAAATAGAGAATGCTTTTTCCAAAGCAAACACATAAATCATGACTCTACGCTATGGTTTGAATGTGTCCTCCAAAATTCAAGTGTCAGAAACTTAATCCCCAATGCCACAGAGCTGAGAGGTAGGACCTTTAAGGGGTAATAAGGTTATGAGAGCTCAAGAATGGAATAACGTCATTATCTTGGGAGTAGGTTTGTTATAAAAGTGAGTTTGGTTCTCTCTTACCATGTGATACCTTCTGCCATGCTCTGGTGCAACAAGAAGGCCTTCTCCAGATGTGGCTCCTCAATCTTGGACTTTCCAGCCCCCGGAACTGTGTATGAGCCAATAAACTTCTGTTTTTTAAAAATTACCCAATCGTAGCTATTGTAACAGCATAAAACAGACTAAGTCACCCTGGATTTTTAGAATTCCGTGTTTTTTCCCCAGAAAGTCTAAATGCCAAAAAAGAATGCAAATGGTCAAACTTAAAACATGCTCTTCCCATGTATATGTGACATTTAGGGAATTTAAGACCCATGAGGGGAAAAAAAGCATCTGGTCAACAATCCACCCAATGCTTGAATTCACATTTCAAAATAACTACTTTAAGCAGTTCCTCTGGGCTTGACTTCAGTACACTCCATCAACTTATTAGAAAAGGAACTATACAGTGAAATGAAGGAACGCTGAGCACCACAGTTTGAACATTACACTGATCAAGGTCTAGGAATTCAGTTCCAAGTTATTCACCCTGCATTAGAAGGCAGGGTCATACCAAATCCACTAAATACCAAGGTGAGATCGAAACAAATGAGTTCTTCAAGGCCAGAAACTATTAAAAGTTATTTATTTTATACCTGTCATACACCCTACAACACTGTAAGAAATGTGTGCCCTAATAACACTACCTGTTTGAAAGCTACAAAAACCTCCTCCTGTAATGAAGGTCACCCCAGACCAGCAAAATCTACCCTATCAAACCTTAATCCAGGCTAGGCATGGTGGCTGACGCCTGTAATCCTAGCATGCTGGGAGGCTGAGGTGAGAGTATCATTTGAGGCCCAGAGTTTGAGATTGCAGTGAACTATGATGATGCCACTGCCTGAGCAACATAGTGAGACCCCCTCTCTTTAAAAAAAAAAAAAAAAAAAATTAAAAATTTGCTGGGCACGCTGGCACATGCCTGTAGTCCCAGCTACGTGGGAGGCTGGGACAGGAAAATAGCTTGAGCCCAGGAACTTGAGGTTGCACTGAGCTATGATGATGCCACTGCACTCTAGCCTGGGCAATGGAGTAAGACTCTATCTCAAAAAAAGGAAAAACAAAACCTTAATCCACATATGAATGACCCTGATAGACTTCATTAGTAGAATGTGACCATAACAAAATTAATTATGTTGCAATGAATCCTTAATTCAGTAATACAAGATATTTGGCATATCGCTAATTAAAAGAGGATTTGCAATGATTAGTTCCCCTTAAACTATCTCTGAAAAGAGTTTCCCTTTTCCACTGCCCTGGACACACAGCTGCTACATAACACAACATTCCCATGCAAAGAGGAAGTCAGCAGCACTGTCATCTAAGAGAGACAATAGGAGTTAGGGACAAAGAGTCACCCCTCCAAAAGAATGAAGCCTGCCGACATTCGACATTCGTAATTGTATCCTCATGCTGACCAGATCTCAGCCAGAAGTGGGGGTGACAGACAGCCACGCAGCTAAAGGAGTGGATGCCCAGACACAGGGAATTCTGTTCCCCAAATGGAGATGAAGGTTGATGCCAGATGCATGAACACTCGCCCATGTTGGAGGCATGGATAATATTATCACACATTCCAATATATTTACTGACATGATTTTTTACACATCCTTGAAATCCCTCTCTTGTGATGATTCATTTTTCAAATTGGAGCAGGGAGAATGTTTGTTATGGAGTATCTATAATATAATAGGTTCATTACTTAGAACTTAGACACTCTTTTTAAAAGAATGATGTGCAAAGCCTACGATGCTGGCAGTTCCGTCTTACATATGCTTGCTAACTATACTAATAACAAATCACATGACATCTTCTAAGACAACACAAAGGATTAAGAGAAAATGAGGGTGGAAGTTAATACAGAATCCATGAATTGTGGGCTATTTAAACAAAGACACTTAATGATGGAGGAAAATGAACTAAGACTTTGAGCTATGCATCTCAAATTTCAGACCCAAAGGCTGCTCTGGCAAGAATTTTACATAACTCCATATGGCTAACTTGTCCTTTTCTCTTAATTTCCACTATACTCAGTTCTTCTGTAGACACACAGATACAGACTGTTTCAAAAAAGTAACTATACTTCTCCAGAAGGGGTAAACGAAGACAACCAGGTCAGGGAGATTTTTTTTTTTCTTTTCCTCAACCTCTCAAATGAACCAACTCTAAGAAAAAGTCATGAGGAGAGTCATCCAGGAAAACATTGAATATAAGATATGAAATATAAATTCTAAAGGGGGAAAAAAATGAGGAACTACCACATAAGATACAAAATAGGACAGAAATCAGCAAAGGGTTTTAAAAACATCCAATTAGAAGCATTATTATATAATGTCACTGCCATTGTTTGACCATGAACCCACAAACTATTATCACACCACTATAGCCGACTTCTTCATCAAACTATCTTAAACTTATTTAGGAAAGTCATACAAAAATAACTGCTATTATAACTTAACCAATTCCACAGCTACAAACTCGGAACTTGGTTAAACAGCGATGGTCAGAAATACACAGTGTAATTTTTGCTTTCCTGGCAAGGGAGAAAAACTTTAAGAAATACCACACATTTAATTCTACAAATTATTAGAAATATCTGTCTTCAAAACCAGCAAAACACCACCTAATACATTCCCCCAAGACTACTGCTGCTGAGAATGAATGAAAATGAATAGTTAAGACAGGTGTCGCACACTGGGGGCTCTCTGGCTAAATCTTCCAGCAGGAACATGTTTTATTTGGTCCATAGCACTTTCTGTTTATTCATTTTTAATTGTAATTACTGGACCATACTTAGAAATCAGGGCATTTGATACAAAACCCATAATTCTGGCTCCTCTATAAAAATCAAGTAATTGGGTGAGTGGGCCCACATTTGCTCCCACGTGGCAAAAACTGGCACCTGAGTTTGCAGTCTCTGATTTAGGTACCAATATTTTCAGCCTTGGGTACTAACCTTTTCCTCGACGGCCCTTCTTCAAAATCTGAAGAACTAACATCGTTGCTAGTAGAGGACACCTGGGATGCATCGTCCTTCTCATTCTCTGACTGTTCTGATGCTGGTCCTAATCCCTTAGACTGGTCATTACCAAGGAGCCCTACAGGTGAGAAAAGGGGACAAACACTTAAATACATCACATCAGGAAGCAGCACTTTACCACAGTTAACCCTGCACAATGGCTGATGAAGACAGACAAGAGTATGGAGAGAAGAGAATTTAAAAGCACATACCCCTTTTGAATGGGTGGAGAAAAGTAAAACCTCATCTTATTTTAGACCATTTAAAAGAGTGAAATGCCTAACAAGGAAACAAATTTCAACAGTAGGAAATTCAAGCAGAAATTTGGAACAACAATGCTGTAGTTTCTAAAAGTACATAAACATGTTTTGTGGCTGGGGGATGGAAAGCAAGAGTATCAATTATTAACAAATCAAACTAGTTATTCTTGAAGTGCTAAATATTTAACCTAGAGAGACTGGAATCCTTTTTGGAATTGCCCGCAGCAATCAGTACCAGCCACACATGAAAAGGCAACCTGACTTCGTAGCCACATCTTAGCTGTTAACTAGAAATCCTACTATACTGCTTTTCTTCATAACCATCCCTGAGATTAGACTGTAACTAGATTTGCCTTTGATCATCTCAAAGGACAATGATTCTCCATGACTGCAGATACATAGGACTTCCAGGCATTATTAGGACAATCTTGGTGCCTGTGGATGTTCTTTTATTAACCAAAATGTAAAAAGGTCCAAGGAAAGGGGCCTGCTGGTCCTCAGAAAGCTCTCCACGCAGTTATTTACTAAGTAATATACAAGTATCTAAACAAGCAGTAAGGCCACACTAGGGAGTAAAAGCTAAATGAGAGGTTGTCTTCTAGCACTCTAGCTCCCTACCTCAGCATAGGTTCTACCAAGGCGAAGTTTCCACTGATACAGTGTCCACGGCAAATGGATCCCGCATCTAGTCACCTGCTTGATGGGCAACCAGAGCTGGCAGCAGCAGCAATGCTAGCACAGCATCTGCAGTTTCACAGTGTTTGACCTTGAAGTCAAAAGTACAGGGTGGCCCCTTGATTTCTGATCTTCCGCCAACTTTGTGAATACTTCATTTCCCTGTATTAAGTGTTTTTGATTAAGTATCCCAAGAAGTGGCTCCTGTCAAGTGGCACTAAATACTATATAGAATACTATATTTCACGTATTTGGTTAGAAGTTTCTAAATGACTATAGTACACCTCAAAAAAATCCTTGGGACTTGGCCTATTTATGCGTGCATTTCCCCAATTATCTATTCTTTACATCATTTCACAGTATGAGTAATAACACAGGTTGGAAATGTAATTATGCTGTAGTAAGTGAAATCTCATGGCTATTCACTTAGACTACTGTGGCTTTAAAAGTCATGACTACAAGGCCAAGTGTGGTCGCTCACGCCTGTAATCCTAGCACTTTGGGAGGCCGAGGCGGGAGGATCGTTTGAGCTCAGGAGTTCGAGACCAGCCTGATCAAGAGCGAGACCCCATCTCTACTAAAAAATAGAAAGAAACTATCTGGACAACTAAAAATATATATAGAAAAAATTAGCCAGGCATGGTGGTGCATTCCTGTAGTCCCAGCTACTCGGGAGGCTGAGGCAGTAGGATGGCTTGAGCCCAGGAGTTTGAGGTTGCTGTGAGCTAGGCTGACGCCATAGCACTCTAGCCCGGGCAACAGAGCAAGACTCTGTCTCAAAAAAAAAAAAAAAAAAAAGTCATGACTACAATATGGAAATGAAACATATATGACTCCCACACCCCCACCCCAAAAAGAAGAAAATGCAGGAAGGTTGCGCTGTGAGGCAAAGAGGAGACAAAATTGTGTGGACATCTAAGAATCGAAGTATCAAACTATGGCCAACACTTCAGAGAGATTAGAGCCCTCTTATCCATTACAGTAGCCACTAGTCAGGTGCAGCTATTATGCATTTGAAGCATAGTGAGTGTAAATAAGAAAATGAATTTTAAATTTTATAGTGAATGTAACATTTCGATAGTTTTATATTAATTAATTGTGGAACTATTTTGGATATATTAGCTTAAATCAAATATGTTAAAATTCATCTCCCTAATTTCATTTTTAGTGTGGCTCTAGAAATATACATACATAATAACAGAAATATTATATACATGGTTCAAAAAATATATTGATCAACACTAAATTAGAGCAAGTTAGTAATGTCACAGGGGGGTGGGGGTGGGGGCCTCTGCCCAATCAGTAGGATGATACATCCGCTACTTAACCAAGATTAGAAATTGGCCCAGGGACATAATATATATCTTATTTGTAAAAAGAAGAGAAGATGGATAAATCACCATACTTGAAAAGGATGGGAAATTGAAAATAAAAATCTTGGTCACAGAACTAAGTGTAAAACTCAACATAAAAAAAGGAGATGTACATTGCATATAAGTATACTCTAGGTTGAGTTCAAGCTTTGCTGTTTTCAATAGTGTATATATGTACATATGGAGAATAAAGCATGGAGGCAAAGGAAAAGAGGGAGGGATTCCGAATTTACCCACTCATTTACATAACACCTACTAGATGGCAGGGCACTGGGGAGACAGGTGTAATCAAACAAAATCTAAATTGTAGTGAGAGGAGGGAGACAAACACAGATGGACGAAGCACTCAGTAGTATGTGCAGAAAAGAATCGCTGCACATGTAGGGCAAGCGGAACGTGGTGTGGGAAGGTAGTGCATGTGACTCGGTGGAGCCAGCCAGCAAGCCTGCACTACCAAAACAGGAACAGGAAAGCTGGGATTTGCAATGTGCCTAAAAACAAAAACCAAAAACAGGTGGTGCTGATGGAGGAGAAGGAGACGGAGGAAGAGGAGGAGGTTGTTTAGAAGCTGTATTTAGAGCAAGGAGGAACTAAGGAAGGACCAGGTGCTGCCAGGAGCAGACTGGAAAGAAATGCTCCTCTACCCTTTGGCAGCTAACAGGAGCTGAAGTACTTGCTGAATTAGGAAGCAGTGAATGCATGAATCAATGACTGAAGAAATGATTTAGGAGTAGACTAACGTGAGAAAGTTAACCTCTTTGATGACAACGTCGCTCTTGTCTTTCTGACAAAAATAATCTCAGTGGATTGTAAAGTGAAGTGGTCTCAAACTTGATCATGCGACACAGTCAACTGGGCCTCACCCCTAACTGTCCCCTAGTCTAACACCTTTCCAGGAGATGCTCTTTGTGGCTCTGGCTGGTCCCAGGACCATATTTTGAGAACTACGTGCAGAGTCCACAACAATAAGAGAAACTGCCCTGAGCCACTAGAAAGCTGTGGGCAAGTGTGAATCACATCCCAGGGAACTGGTTATGATTGCACAATCTATCACAACACAACTCGCAGGGAGGCATTCAGACCCTAAGTTGGGTCTGGGCATTCGTCCACCTTTATCAGTAATTTTGTCATGAAGTTACAAGAGTCGGCTAATATGACAAATACAGACTCAAAAAAATGTAACAGGTTGGAAAACTGCATGTCTAAGAAGCATAAATGTAACCAGGCTTCTAATGTTTTATAATATCCCCCCTCCCCCCCGCCAAAATCAACTGTCTTAGCACAAATTCAGGGAAGCTGCATGAAGAGATTTTACGAGAAAAATACCAGGGAATATTAATTGACTGGATATGAGCTCAGCGCAAGGCAAAATAGTGGAGACTGGCCTGATACCAAGGCATGACTGAGCTATATTTAAGGGAACGAAAGCAGTGACTCCATCATCCCATGCCCTCAAACTCTTAACTCCAAGCTTTCCCTCCTTCCAAGGATTAACAATGAGCACCTGAACTAGAAACAACAGGGGTTGTCTCAATCAGATTCACTATCCAGAGTCAGAAAATGGGGCCCACACATAGGGCATTAATTGATTGTCATGCAAATTAAAGAACCACAGCTTTTTGTGGCCTTCATGAAGGGGCAGGATAGAGTTTGTCCTGCACACGATCTGCTTTTTCAATTTGAGTACTCCCATTCTGTACATAACTGCTGAGGAAAAAATTTACATTTATTTTTAGTTAGTCTACACGGCTGGATAAACCCAGGCTTCTTTTTCTATCCCGTCACCCCCCTGTACCTTTCTCAAATCTCCACTGCACTGACTACCTCATTTCATTTTGAACACTTTAATCCAAATCATACACAGCCTGCCCAATCCAAGACAGCCAGGTCAGCAAGATGGTATATGATGCCACAGGGCAGAAGAGCCATTATTATAACATTAGCCAAGCAATCTAACAGCTTGTCTAACAAAGCCTTGCCACCAATTGTTTAAATTATTATTTTTAGTCAATGAGAAATAATGAAATGGCACCCCTCCTTCGTACACTAGAGCTGTTTTTATCTTTTCAAACCCCTCCCCCCAACCCAAACCTTTGTTGGGGAGAGGAGGTTAAACAGAGGAAACTGAATGAATGGTCCAAAGATTCAGTCTCTCCCATTAGCATTTGTTCTCCTTTATTAATATTCAGTAGGTTGAACTTAAATTAAACCATGTCTATTGTCTTTCACAAAAGCAATAAATACGAGCTGAAAATTCCAAGTCACTGCAGCGAAGGTGGCTTAGGGACTGTGCCCGCAACCTCGGTTAGTCACCATCCGCTGACAGGAGCAGTGTGTCGTGGACCTGAGACCACTCAGCCACCACAAGACAGTGCTTGTTCTCACAGCGCAGAACTCTAAAGAAATCGAATACAACAGAACGCTGCCATCAGAGGCTGTGCACATTTAGGAGCTTTTCGCCCCATCTCCCGAATTAGCAAGAAATGAAAAGGCTTCTAAGGCCGCACAAGACAATACAATAAAACTGGCTTCTTTCTGAGTCTGGAACACCAGCAGAAAGGAGGGCCTAGGAATTCCTGTTGTTCTTGGAGATTGGAGATGTGTGCGTGACCACTTCCCTCTTGCCTTAACATTAAAGGGTTTGGGAAAATCAAAACACAAATTAGACCAAAGATTCCTTTAGCCGACGGAACTTCTAAGGAATTGATGAGAACTATAGACTTCAGAACACAAATGTATAAATACAAGATAATTCTTTTCTAACATCTGAA